CAGAATGCATGATATAAGTTATTAAATACAGCTAAGGCGTTTGTATGGAAACCAGCAACATTGTGAAACTGCTTAGGAAGGATCAAATAAGCTAATAGGTAAGAATCTGAGCCATATGATAAGTGGTATAGAATTCTGCAACTTATCACCAAGCTTTTTAGATTGTAACCAGAGAAACTATCCTAAAGAATAGAAGTTCCTAGGTCTTTTCTGTAAATGGTAAATACTTTAGGTTTCTACGTTGATTCTGCCTACCTATCTAAGATTTAGGGTTAGTTGCTGAAGTAGCTGGCCAATGTTAGAACCAGGTTTTCTTTGTCATAAGTTCCGAATTACGTGAGATCGGGTTTCATTTGAGCTTTCTCTGACATACTCAAATAATACAGTAAGTAATATGACATTTATTTTCATTCCAAGTTTATAAAATATAAACTTTCTACAGTAGTTATTATTGAAAGGTCCAGTATAATATTACTAAAGTTTATTTCAGATTATAACGTATGTATATTGATTTTGAAAATTAATTGTTAAGAAAACAAACACAGCTGAAAGTAATTATAAATCCCAAATGACTCAGAAGAGATATTTTTAATCGTAATAGGCATGAATATACTTTGATGACACCGATTTCCCTTAATCGACTAACGTAATAGACGTTATTTAGGATTTAGGATGAAACTTGATTGTTTAATCAGTTCCTAATACGCAATTGTAAATAAGAGGTAATTTATGTAAACGAGAAATATGTCAAACTTCTTGAGCAGTAAGCGGGCAATCCTGCAGATATCGATACGAATCGACTTACGAATCGTAGTTTGACTGAACTCAAATATAACATACAGATATTCTCGAAACACTTTGGAAAAAATGAAATGTAATCAACCAAAAACCACAAATTTAAGCAGAATATTATTCCAATAAAAGTAACCTAGTTAATAATTTGTAGTGTTTCGAGAGAAAAGTTGGGACGAAAACTTAGTCTCTTGAAAAATGATCTCCATAAAATTAACTTCAGGGCTATCCTATAGAGTAAGTAAAAAGTGATAACATCTGCTACATCACTAAAAAGTCTCCTATAGTCTCACAAAATTATCAAATTATCTGGTTGAAACTTGTGTCCTTAGCCTCGGTTATTACTTGGGAGGTTGAAAAGGACAATGTTTAAGGGTTATGGATATTTTAGCAAAATCGTGTTAACGAAAGTTTTTTGAGAAAATTCCATACGAAATCACTAGTCTGAAACATTAATTTTGGTTGTTTTCCATTCCAAACACAATATTTTTGAAAGAATATTTTTCATATTGTTAGCGTTATGAGCTAACTTGCGATACAATGCTCCCTATAACCTCAATCTATGCTTCAAGTATAATGGATATCTAACATTCTTTCCTTGTATCATTTCAGTGCAATGATAAGGTGTTCCACACGTATATGTAGCCACTAAGTAGTGATAACCGGGTAACACATAAACATCGTGTTTTTGCACTCAGAAAGAAAACAACTCTGATGCCTCAAAAGCACCTCGGAAGGCACACCTCACATTATAATATGAGGACGACATTCACGGTTTTAAAAGCTATCTAACTAGGACTAAACTGCAAATGTTTCCTAATGGGTGCTATCGTGAATAATATAATGTTTACCACTGTCCGTTGCTTACAATAAAAATTCCCAAATTTAAGCGTCAAAAACGCCTAGTTATATCAAAGGGTGGGAAGCTTGCGAAGCGTTTGCTATTTGACTTTGAAGAAATTATGAAGAACACGCTTGCCAACAATTTGAAAATGAAAAATATTTGTTACAAAACTACAAACGTATTTTGCAGAGCTAACCTAACTTCGTATAAGGAATAGTAGCCTTAACTAATCAAAATCTGTAAACTCCAGTGATAATACACGTGTGAAAAGCCTTGGATTTCGGTATTGTGACTTACACTTTTTAGTGAAAGTAACAGAAACAATACAGAAGTAGTGGCAACCTGTTCCAATTTAAGATACATAGAGAATTACTGAATCACCTCATTGACAAATATATCATATATGCGCATGTAATATTGTGTACGGTTCTTACAGCTTTTGGAGCTTGATAAATACTCATCATACATGACCAATCTCTTAACTGAAAATCAGACTACGTTTTCTGATGTTCCAACAATAGAATTTTGTGAGTACAAAAGTCATGTCATTGACGTCACATGAACCTCGTCTTTGGTCTGGATTTGATTGTACTCTATCCTAGGTGATAAGTGTACTCTCAATGTATTACAAAGATCTGATTAAAATTCTTCAGAGAAATTGGTCATACTCTGTGTGAAATACCTTCGACTGCCGTTGTCTGTTAATAACCCGAGATTTAACTCAGACCCGAAGAATGCCGTCAATATAAGAATCTGAAAAGTCAACAGTTCACACTTAAACAGAAGTACTCTCCCTTAAGTGGATTAACTTGACTTTATCATGGAGAGAACTCGATGATAAAGCACGGAATTTCGCGTGAAACGGATTACAAATTTTTAAGCATCTCTTGCGACACTTTTATGTCATTTTCAACAAGAAACCCTCTTCACATTATCTATGCCTTGATTTGTAAAGAAATGTCAGATTAAGGTTGTAATAATGTAGAGGAATGATTTATTTTTGTTGTGGCACATCTGTTAACTTTGATGATGATTCATTTTTAATAACATAACAGTTTTCTTAAATTTATTATGCCTCAAGTTTTAGGTTTTCCCTAGGGAATATAATTTATTCAACAGTGTACTATGCCTCAAAATGCGAGAGCTAGGGTATTTTTTTACAGGTACCGCAATATAATAAGTTTTTCACCCTCTGGTGTCAAGACATTCGGTTTACTATTGTAAAGAAAGGAAAGGGATATATACTTATAGACGTTTCAGTAGCTTATATTCGACAACCGAACGAACCAACATGAAACCTGATACATAAATGCATAAGTTCTATTCCATGTTAGCTTATCTGTCGGATATTTGATACATTCAAATTATTATTTACTAGGTGACGTTTCAAGTAAAATTTACAACTATCGTGTCTTATTTTTACACTTCTGCTTTGGTTAGTAGAATTTTACAGATATATGGAACAGGTGTTGATTCATTCCTACTGCATGTGTTTGATTTCGACTTGATGAACAAAGCTTCAGTTATCGATCTCTCACTAAGTTAATCTTCAGGACTATCACTTTATCCCATCCTAGTGAGTGACTGCGTGCATTCCAATAGCTGAGCTCTTCTTTAGATTTAGTCCACGTTTTCTCACTTCAAGGCGGTATGCAAAGAAGTGGATCAAAAAAGGTCATTTGATTAGATATGTGTGGAAGAATAAGTATATAAAGGTTGATGAAATCAAGACTTTGAAAATGAAAAACTGTATACATGAACACAATTATCACCGATTCTGAGTCGTGTCAAAAAAGTCCCGAAGCATCGATTAATGTAGTGTCAAGAACCCCATCCAAACAACACCTCTCCCAACACAACTTAAAACATATTGCCAGTGATTTTATGAACTAGTGTTGTCATAGTCTGACAACTTTCGGCTTTCTTCCAAACTATTTATGTTTCGGCTAACATTGAGCATCAGAATAGGTGTTGACTTGACAAGCGTAAAGGATTTACAAGCCAACTCAGATACTGAACAGTTAAAACACCAGCCTGAAAATAACGTTTTCTCTCTTTTTAGATTCATTGAAGTTCATGCACCGAATTTCTTAAAAAACATTTCCTTACTCAGTCAGTGAATCACTTGATGACCATATGGTGTCGAATGTCCAGAGTAATTGCTCGACTCAAGTTTTATGACGAATGCACAAAGTTGTTGTTTACATCCAAAAATTCTTAGGTTCTTACGATCATGAAAACTACACTGATCAACTAAAACACCTTGAATTGTCATTAAATCTGACATTGAGCTATCAAGTTCTGCAAATATAAACATTTTAAAATACTGCCTTCGACAATTTAGTCAATGATCCAAGCGATGTATTCACCATAAAATTTCAACCTTATGCAAGATCTTCAATAAAAGATTTATGATAGTCTTCACGGGGCTTTCCTGAAGAGCGATTACATACATTTTCCAGAAAATCTTGTCTGAAATATTCACAACACATTCAGTACAAAACTAAATCGATCTGCATTGTCCCAACTGTTTTTCTTTCATTTTTCGGGAAAAATATTAAATAACCTCCTACAAATTGCCAATGCTCACGTTATCGACAAAGATTATCAACAAAAAATTAGGATACGAGTTTATTTTAACAAAAGCAAAAAACAGTTAAGGTTAGCGTAAAACAAGTCAGTTTAAATCACCACCACCATATAGAACAAGTCTTTGGTCAAGTAAATAAAATTAAGTTTTTCTGCTAGAACCATAAACGTGGTCTGAGTTTTGAACACTTATTGAATTCAATTCTCCCCAAAGCAAGCAACAGCTTTCCATTATACAGATATGATTTCAGATAACATCGATGTTCCCTGTTTTAATTAGTCAGGCCTTGGAGTTTCTCTCCAATGAACCCGATATCATAAATCGGATACCATGATTTAGTATAGACGGAATCAATGAGTAGACACTATATTTCCTGGGGAAGAATCAGTTTCCCAAACACCTGAAGTACAACACTTTAATTCTCTATGAACTGTAGCAAGAATCGTCACATTAGTCAACTGTTAACCTTTGACTTTCCTTCCTCACTTATAGGGTAATAAACGATGATGGTGACAAACAACCGAACAAAATTTTGTCCTACTTCGTTTGCTGCGATATCTAACTAAATTGAAATTTTAGGCACAGATTTTCATCTCACGAAAATACTTTCCCACTTCATAGTGACTAGAACTGATATTGAAGGCGAACTCCGATACACGTGATTATGCGTAGTTTGCGTGCATAGAATTTGAACGATATTTTGACTATAAGTAGGTGACTAGTGATAATTTGGAATTTATGTAAGAAAGGTTGAAACAGTGTGTTTGTATTTACCTCCATTTGATTCATTTTCTGCTCAGCTAGTTCAGCCATGAGAGAACGATGTGGATGGGAGTCGACTGGCTTTACACCACCTTCCTCATTTACACCTGTGCTTTTGCTTCCTGCTTGAGATGATAATTTCTGAAGTCGGTTGTGAAGCACATTAGCTGTTTCTTGAAGCCTCGTAATCTCCGCATCTTGAGTATTTATCTACAAAATATGCCATTCAGAGTGCATAAACATACAGTAGCAGCCTGTTCACTTGCCACCTGTCTCAACATGTTCACTTCTTGATAAGAATCGCTGAGTGATTCCAACAAACTATTCTTTTCCTCAACAACAGCACTTAACTGGATTTCTAAGTGATTCTTTTCCTCTCGTAACTTTGTAATCTAAGAAAACAGTTAAAACATACTGCAGCACTCACTTCTTGTCTTAAAGATTCGATTGACTGCACATGCTCTTGCATAGAAGATTTATGTTTCAAAAATTCTGATCTTAGGTTAGACAGCTCTTCTCGTAGATGTTCTTCGTTTTCACTTGAACAAGTAAGACGATGTGTTAAAGACTGGTTCTGCTGAATCAACTCGTTAATAGTTGTGTTCTTTTCCTTCTCCATTTTTTTGCACATTTTTCGCTCCTTTTTCAAGTCAACACGCATTGCGATTATATCCGTCTGTAGTTCCTTAACTTGAGCATCGTAATCACTTTCGACTGCCTCCAGACGGAGCTTCAGTATATGTCTCTCACTTTCTAAAGTCTAGAATTTAAGCTCGTATGATGCTGATAACATTACATGGATTTTCTGCAGTAGGGCTTCAAGCAGGTTACTGCTGCCATCGTAAGTTTCATTGCCATGTTGTATAAACGATGCGTTTCCATCAGTGATCACAGGTTGACACATCTTACCAAAGCCAAAAAGCGAGTTGGAAGTTTCTGCTTTAATATCAAGTCATAAAGTCTGAGCAACATACCAGAAATGTAGCTGGACATTGAGAGTCGATAAAACGCAATCCTTTTGAAAAGCGTTCCTTAGCAAGTTCAATGTAGAAATGTCATCCTAGGAAATAAAACAAACAACTATGTTCAGTGGATTTCAGTATACGTTGACTAACGAGGATAGTGAGACAATTTTTCCGTGTTGTTTCTTGCAGTAGATACCTTTATGAAGACTTAGTTTCGCTGTAAACCCGTTGACCGGGGAAGATGATACAACTTTCTGAGTTAAGGGGTTCCAGTGGTTTGACCATACGATGGAAGAAACACCAAGCCGACCATGATTTTGAGTCCTCTTGAGATGGCTTCCAGGATAATTAGTTCAAGAAAGAGGGAAAACGTCAGACATATAGGTGCCGAAGTCATTATTAAGGATAGGGAATGCCAGTTTGGGATCACCTCCTTTCCTTATGTAAGATAGCCGAAATAAGTTATTTGGATCTAATTCATCCTCATGGGGGAAGATTTGAAGGGCCAGCTGAAGTCTTATTATATGCTTTTTGAAACATGTTACAGTATGTCGTCATGGTCTTGGCATGGATTGAACGCTAGAATACAGTATTCTAAGTGGGGTCTAACGAAAGTCAAACATTTCTTCAGCACACCCATGTATTGGCCATTACTTTTGAGATGCGTCTGGAAACAGAAAGGGATATTTCTGGAGATTTGGGGAATGTATAACTCGATTACTAACTGTTTACCTCATATCTAATATCTGTTTGAGGTGTTATAGATCCAACACCCAAAACTTGTAGAGCGAGCTTGTAGAAATCAGTTGATTTGTTTGCGCTTGCGTTTGAGTGTTTCAGGGCAGATTCAAGTCTTTTCTGGGTTCCCAGATGGAACATCTACCCACTACTCTGCTACAACACAAGTAAACTCTACACGTCGTTAGGTGCTGGTTAAATTTGTAAGGTGGTGTTTGATTTATCCTGGGATTGGTGTGGCGACGGAATCCTTAAGTATTATTTCACCAAAGAACATTTTGTATTGGCCGTAAAAGGAACACAAGTGGGGTGAAAAGACAACCTAGGGCACAAAAATGTTGAGGATCAGAAAACCACAAAAAGCGAGTGTAAAATTAAGGGAAAGTCTGACTCTATTCATGAAAGACGAAAAAAGTGATACGTGGAATCTCAACAGATAAACTGCGATTGCGGAAGTATGAGGAAACAGAAAGGAGCATGGAAGAAGATAGTGGGGACGATGGAAGTAGAAATGGCAGTGATCTTAGAACGAATGGAGAGGACGTTTCATTGGGATGTATTAGGTTGAGTCGAGCCCGTGATAATAGCGGTGGTGGAAGGGCGTCGGCATAATGGTGGCTGTGGGGCCGATGCGAAGTCATTTCGTTGCTTCGACCCAGCCTGTATCCCAACTGGGTGGACCCTAATCGTGTGTTATTGGATTGGTGTCGAAATATTTTCGGAGGCTGCTGAGGTATGAAGCGCTGGCTAATTCGGCAGGCAATGCTTTCCAGTGGCCGGAAACTGAAGTGGGATGGGCGGGCAATTCTCCTTCGGTCTCTACGACGGTTACCGCGGCGGCCGTTTGGTAAAGTTCAGATACTCGAATCCCGTGGATCATTCGCCTTGCTGCAGGCCACTATCAAATCATCACGAGACGAACAGTAACCAGGGGGCAAAGGCATACATTCTGTAGCCTATACTTGATTGATTTTTCCACTCCCTTGCAGCACCATCTATGCCTTGCCTCTAGACATTTCACATGAGGTTTTGCATTGCTTATAAGATCTGACAATGTGAAGTCATGGAACTTTAGGTGAGGTCGTATGTTGTTCTTTAAAAATTTCGGCGGAACTCACTGGTGACAGCCGTGCACGAAAGCTTTGTATTTTAAATGTTTTTTCGTAGTTTGTCCTTTAATTGTTCTTACACAAACCTGCTGGTTATCTACGAGCAGTGAAGCTGCACTAGCCTAAATAATCGAACCAGGATAAGCATATAGCGACAGCAGTTTGAAGGCGTTGATAAGCAAGAATAAATTGCCATTGTTATTCAAATCTTCAACCCACTACGAAACGTTAAAAGGAATTCGTACTATGCGAACTTCATAAACGCTAGGGAAAATCACTAATTATCTCCACCTGGTATGTGCACAAGGTGCCAGACCAAGAACATGACAGACTGACTAGGTGGATGGTTTACTTGATAGACTGTACTAAAACACTGATGCATTCCAGTTAACTGGCCGGAAGATTGCGTGCAGCCAGCGCTGAGTGACACCACAGCGAGCCAAACGGTGTTGATGTTTGACCATGTGCCTCCAACTTAGCAAGTCCGTTACAACTATGAAGGTCAGCATCGGTGTTGAATCTCATCAAACCGCACGCTGTTGATTCTGGGGCATTATTTGCCGTTACGGATGAAACGAAACGGTGACGACCTAGCTTGATGGCTGTTGTTGCGGAATAGATCGTCAACGTGTTTGGAAACAGGTTCATAACTTTCGCTGTCTCTCCTGGGAAATGATGATCCTCAAATATTACACCGTCCATAATCCCGTTCACCCTAACAGATTACTTGTAAGTTCCACTCAGAAATGCCATCTTCAAGGTCAACCATCGAGAAAAGAGCACGAGAGAGCATCTACAATGATCCATGGTGACTAGTTTTCAGTTAAGTCGGAACTCCCTCCCCGAGGCTGTCATGGAGCCCTCCTCTTTTACTTTCGATAAGAAATATAGATACACATCTGGAATATGGTGGCAGTTATGGGCTGTACCTGCGAGAATTTGCGCCATCCACAGATCAGAGAGAGAGACGCTACCCATGAAGAGCAGACTGATTTATAATCGATCATCTCTGTTCTTTCGGGTTTTCCGAAATCAGGAAGACAACCATGACCATTCCAGGCCAATAGCCCGTTCCAACAGAACGGACGCAGAACTCAAGGAACCGTCCTTTGTTAATTCTGAGACACGAAGTTTGAAGTTAAAGCAAAGTAACATTAGTACAAGAAAAACTTCAACTAAGCAGTCGCTGCATCTAAATCTATATTCGCGTAAAATGAGATGCTACGGTCATTGTAGCAGTGCAACCGGATAAAAAGAACTAGGCTTCAAAGCAGATGCAGAAGTTCAAAATCTATCAGCTTCTTCTATTTGCGCCTTTGAGGTTGCATGTTGGAAGCGTTATGTCTGACTGGTTTCGCTTGCGTAAACTTATAAGGCACAAACAGTCACTTTGGAATCAATGAAGGGTCACCAATAACTCCACTGGCTGGCTAACCTACAACGACCTTCGTAGCAGCTGTACTATAAGAATCAGAAATGGCGGCGTAAACTGCCAGACACGGTGGTGATGATATGCCGCCACCAGTGCTTAAGATATTCACACTATCAGTGGAAAGTGGGAAGTATCCCAGCGGGTGGAAAACTAGCTTTATAATTCCTGGCTACAAGTCCGGTGACAAAGAGAATGTTGGTAACTACACACCTATCAACATAACACCAGTCATCTCCTGAATCATGGAAAAAGTGATTAGGGGCAGCATGTCTGACTACCTACTCAGAGAAAACCTCATCAAAAAGTCTCGGCAAGGTTTCATTAAAGACAGGTCTTGCGTTACTTACCATTTCGACTTCTTCAACCTTATCACTAGCAGCCGCGAGGCACGTAAAATCGTCATTGTTCTATATTTTGATACATCAAAGGCATTTAACAAGGTGCCACATGGTATTCTCTTTGATAAGCTACAATAGATTGCCATTTATGACCCTTTACTTCATTGGCTAAAATCATTTCTTAGTTATCGTGGCCAAATCGTCAAAGTAAATTCCATACAGTCTACACCTAGGCTCACAACTAGTGGAGTAATACAGGGTAGTGTCCTTGGACCTTTGTTGTTCATAACCTGCAATAATAATGTGTGCAAGCGCTTCACTTTAGGGGAAACATTCCTATAAGCTGATGACCTTAAGGTTGTTTACCCATGTCACACTCATGAACTAGGTAATACACTATCTACTGCTCGATAAGAATTATGTGAAGTTGCTAAATGGTGTGACGAGTCCCATCTCAAGTTCAACATCGATAAATGTAGTTGGCCTAGCATGGGCAGCGATAAATTAGATGTATCTCTCGAAGTATGTGGGCAAAAGCTACCTAGATGTTCTTCAGTGCTAGATCTCGGCCTAAGATATTCCACTGACTTAACGTTCCCTGAACAGACGGCTTGTATCACATCTAAGTCACGTAGACTCCTTGGATGCATCGTCCGTAACTTTTATAGCACTGAATCAAGGGACCTGCTCTACAAAGTGAGCATCCGTCCAATTTCAGAGTACTGCCCGTTTATCATAAATGGCCTTCGTATAAGCGACAAAGGAAAAAATAAGGAGTACAACGCCACCTTACACTAAGAACACTAGGAGCTGATTGCAGCCTAGACTACGTCTTGAGATGCAACATGCCAGGACTGGAACCTCTCTGGAAGAGGCGAATTAGAACGAATCTTATATTTTATTGTAAACTACTTCTTAAGCAAGTCCACTTATGTGACCCGGAAGTTAAAACAGTTGTAGCATCTACTCACTAGTTGCGTAATCACAACCTATTAGCGGAAAATGGGTGTTGTAAGACCAACTTGCGAGGGAAGTTCTTCATCAATAGGTTCTCTCACATCTGGAATAGACATCCTAAGGAAACACGTACCGCAGACCCGTTATCTATCTTTCGTTCTGCACTTAATAAGCCCCTAACAGATGATCAGTCTATCACTCGCCTAGGCACTATATATACATTCTAGGCTAATGAAAGCAGAATAAGTACCTCAAAAGTATAGAGTAAAGCTATCATAAATCTCAGGTACTTTTTACCTCAATGGACCTACAAAGGGTGTTTGACTACTGGTCCATGTGGTCGGATTGTGCAGTACAAATACATAACCAGTGTTCCCTTTAAGTTTACTGACAAACCTCCTACCTAATAACTCGCGTGAACTTCATGTAAGAAAAAAAGGAAGATTCATTCTCA